ATCTGAGCTCAAGAGACACTCTTCGCTGCTCTCGTGGGTGAATTCAGAGTTTCAGGCTAGCTAATCAGAGAAGGGGGGCATCATGTTGACTCTGACTCCGGTCTTAACTGTGTCCTATGAAGCCAAGATTTCATTTCTGCTCCTTTCTATCCTGGAGTTTGCCGTGGGGATCCTGGTCAATGCATTCATTGTCTTGGTGAACTTTTGGGACATGGTAAAAGGGCAGCCCTTGAACAACTGTGACATTGTGCTGTTGTGCCTCAGCGTCACGCGGCTCTTCCTGCAGGGGCTACTGCTCCTGGATGCTATCCAGCTCACCTGCTTCCAGCAGATGAAAGACCCGCTGAGCCACAACTACCAAGCCATCCTCACTTTCTGGATGATCGCAAACCAAGTGAGCCTCTGGTTTGCCACCTGCCTCAGTCTCCTCTACTGCTCCAAGATTGCCCGTTTCTCTCACACCTTCCTGCTCCACTTAGCAAGCTGGGTCTCTAGGAGATTTCGCCGAGTGGTTCTAGTGGCTCTTCTCTTCTCCTGCATCTGCACCGCCCTATGCCTGTGGGACTTTTTCAGCAGGTCTCACTTCACGGTCGCCTCCGTGCTACCCAGGAACAACACAGAATTCAACCTGCAAATTGCAAAACTCAGTTTCTTTTATTCATTTGTCTTCTGCAATGTGGGGTCGATCCCCTCTTCTCTGGCTTTCCTGGTTTCCTCCGGAGTGCTGTTTATCTCCCTGGGAAGCCACATGAGGGCCATGAAGTCCCGAGCCAGGGACTCTCGTGACCCCGGCCTTGAGGCCCACATCAGAGCCATCATCTTTCTGGTCTCCTTTCTGTGTTTCTATGTGTTGTCATTCTGTGCTGCCTTGGCCTCAATGCCTTTACTGGTGCTCTGGCACGATAAGGGGGGAGTGATGGTTTGCATAGGGATGATGGCGGCTTGCCCTTCGGGACACGCAGTCATCCTCATCTCAGGTAACGCCAAGCTGAGGAGGGCCATAGAGCCCATGGTGTTCTGCTTTCACCGCAGCCAGAAGGTGAGAAGAGACCTCAAGATGCTTCCAAGGACACTGATAAGTCATGAAACAGGCTCCTCACAAACACACCTCTAATGCTCCCAGTCTCTTCCATAAAACAGAACCGGAATTCTTTCCACTTGACCTAAATATGTTCTACCGCAGTAGAACAAATCCACTGAAACTCTGTGATCTAAGCAAATATAATAGTGTTGGCTCCTTAGATGTGTTTAGTAAAATGAACGACAGCAGCAGCAGCAAGCCGGGGGATTCGCTGTAAATCCCTTCCATGCTGAAGCCCATTACCAATCCCTGTGTGCCTTGGGAAGCCTCTTCTAAACGAACAGAAAGCCTTAACTTACTGACATACTTGCTAAGACTCTTGCTCAAAACTAGTGCCGGAGTCATACATGGAAATAGTCACTACTCTGGCAATCATTCAGCGCTCTTCGGACCCCACGGTTTCCATGGAAACAGGAGGTAAGAGAAAGAAAGACCTGGAAGAAAAAATAAAACATTCTGTAACTTCAGCTTCCAAAATGCACTACAGAAAAACTCGAAGGGGATCCAAGTTGAATCCAAAATGTACTTCCCCCTGTCGTACACAGAGATCAGAGGTGAGCTAGCTATTTGTTCTGCCAGTGCTCTAGATACAGGAACTCCCGGTGCACCTCCTGACTCTGCCCAGTTGCCACTGTCTACTTGCCCTGGGTGAAGAACTCTGCTAGAAAAGCCCAGCAACAAGGCAGGTCTGTGAAGACCCAGCTCTCTGTCTTCCTGCACAGGAACCAGAACCGCAAAGGTTTTCAAAAATTCAGACCTCAAAGACTCAAGAGAGGAAACTCCAGACCAGGAAGATAAATCCTTCAAAGGTGTCCTCCCGAGGTCTGTGTGAATGCCTTTGAAGACAAGTTTCTGATGTACACAATTTCCCATGCCTGAAACAGCTCCAATGACAACAAAGCTTGCAACGTTGTCTCTTGTCTTTTCCTTGGTGGAGTGGACATCTTCTAAAGTTTCCTTCAGAAGCACCGATCCTAACTCATGATTTCAAGTGAAAAACAAACAAAACCTCATTGCCTCACTTGAGGCCAACAAACTCAGATATTTGGAGATGGATCCAGATGTCATCTTTCTAGCTCTCCCTGGGCGATCCAGTGTCAAGAGCCACTACTCTGGATGCTCTGTTATTTGAGCTAGATAATGTGATTCCCCCAAATCCACATCATTGCCTTTGACCCCATTTCTCCCTACTGTACTAAAGGATATCATCCAAAAGGGAAGAAGTCGTTTTTCTGTCTTTTTTATATGAGCATTCTCAAAGTCTTCTTTACGATGTGTTGTTCCCCATGAATTTTTAAAGACCCCCCCCTTTGGAGCATTTTAGGGCCACAGAAAAACACATAGCTGAAATCATACAGTATGTGTAGCCTCCTGGGCCTGGCGAGTTTTACTTAGTATCTAAGGTTTCTCTGCCTAATTGAGGGCTGACAACTCATTTCTTCCTGTGCTAAATCAGATTCTGTGGTCCGGATGAAACACACTTGTCCCATTCACTCACTGAAGAGCAGCTCGGTTGTTTGGCGTTTTGACAGTTGTTGGGAACACTGCTAGGAACATTCTGTGTACAGATTTTCTGCATTCATGAGCTGCTGGTTCTTGGATAAATTCCAATGAAATCAAAGGCTGGATCACCTGTTAAGGCTAGGTTTAATTTCGTGAGCTACTACCAAATGTGTCCTTCAAAGTGGCTCACTGTTTGGCTGTCCCACCACTGTGAGTGACAGGCTTCTGCAGACCCCTGGTCTGGGTTCCAGCAGTCAGCAGCTGTGTAGTAGATCTTACTGTTTTCTTGATTGTCTCACTGAAAACGCACAATGTGGGTCTCTCCTCATGTGATTCTTTTCACAAAAAAAAAAATTATCCTATTTCTGAAGTTCGTCCATAATATTATATGAATTTATTTTAAAAATTTTATAGTCAATATGTTTGTTCATGTTTCCCTTCGACTGCTCCTTCCAGATCCTCTCCACCTCCTTGCCTACCAGCCTCAAGTTATCTCTTTCTCTCTCACTTCCTCAAAAAAAACCATAAAATGAAAGACAGAAAAGGTCAAAACAAACAAAAGCAGTAAGACAAAAAACCCCACCAAGACCCGACTTACCGTTCCACTCTAACTGGTGTTGCCCTGTTTATAGTTAGCAGACCTTATGAATAAAGTTCCTCCGAACCTTCTTGAATGCATCTTTTTGAGGACACAGCTTTATGTCTCTGAGGTAACACCTAGGAGTGAAGTTGCTGTGTCAAAAAGTTGGAGCACATTTAACTCATTGAGAGTTTTCAGAAGTGAGCCTGACATTTCATGCCACCCACCGCAACATAGGGAAGTCGTTCCACATTCTCGCCAACAGCAACTTGCTACTCCACTTCTCAGTTTTGCTCAACAAGGTGAGACGAAAATGGCTTTAATTTGCCGTTCTCTGACAACTGTCAGTTGTCAGAGCACATTTCCATGGTTTCCTTGGCTTTCTTCTTGTACATTTTGTACTACAAACTACTCGCACACATTTTATGCCAAGTTGTCTTTTTATTACCGATTTTTGGGACTTCATAAATTTTTGAATTTTGCATATGTATATTATATGTGTATATATAATGATATAACTCATAATATTAATACACTTATAATTTGTAATGTTTAAGGATTCCTTTTTGATATTCATATTTTATATGTATGCATAATTTATAACACATGCTTCATATTTGTATATATGTGTGAATACATATATATTCCAGAGAACATTCATGTGCCTGATACATAGTGACTATTATAACCCAAACTCTGACTTATCTTTACACTTCCTTGATCATATACTGATAAGCACAAATTCTAGATTTTGATACAACCTAATTTTTATATTTAATATTTGTGCTTTTTATATTTCCTTTAAGATATATGTATTTACCTCTAAAAGCCTTTTTTGATCTTCTCTAATGTTTTAGAGAAGTTTTCATTTCTATGTTTAAAACTGAAATTCATGTTTAGTTAATTTTAAAATGTGCACCATGCTATGATTTATTGAAGGGGCTGCTCAAGTTTCTATGTATCCCATCCATGTGGCTCAATATCCTTTATCAAATACTTTCCTTCCTACCTTCCTTAGACTAACTCTATGGTTACATGCATGTGTGTGTGCATATACATTCTATACATGTATGTAGTGTGAATATATACACACATTCATACACACAGCTCTTGTTGTGATTCTAGATATTATTTATTGAATCTGAATATCAACTTGGAAAGAATTCACTTCATGAAAAATATTTAATCTGAGCATGAACATAAATATCTTTACTTAAATTTTTAATTTCTTCCAATGTTTTATAGTTCTTAGTAAAATCTCTTATAAAATCGTATCTAAATGTTTCATATTTCATTTATTATATATAGAATTATTTAAATTTCTTTGTGTTTATTTTTTACATCATATAAAACCACAATTTTTTACATTTATCCCATACTTTAGAGACTTCCTAAGTTAAGGAAGTGTCATTTTACCTATGCCTTTAATCTCATGGCTAAATATTAAGGAAGTGTCATTTTACGTATACCTTTAATCTCAATCTCATGGCTAAATATTTTGACATTGGTCCTACATTAGGGTTTTAATGTGTTACTTGTTTTGTCCTTTGTGCCTTCTTTCTTTTCCACTGAGAGCTTTCAGCTTAGATCCCTAGCCATTTTTAAATGGGTCGTTTGTTTCTTTGACTCTTTAGTTTTTAGTTCTTTGTATATTCTGAATATTAATCCTCTGTCAGACGTCTAACTGGCAAATATTATCTCCCATTCTGGGATTTCTTCTTCATTTGAATGTTTGTCTCATTAATTGTACAGAAGTGTTTCAGGTGTATGGGCTCCCAGCTGTCTGTCGTTGACCTTAATTTCTGGGGCAAATGGACGCCTGTTCAAGAAATACTTTCCTGCATCTTAATCTTGCTGGGTACTGTCTATGGGAATGACCTAAATGCCCTTCGACATATGCATAGATAATGAAAATGTGTACACATATATGATGGGATAATATTAAGCTGTGAGGAAAAAAAATGAACTCATTAAATTTATAAGCAAATAGATGGGTCTAGAAAATATTATATTAAGTGAGGTAATCTAGACACAGAAAGACAAACAACACGTGTTTCTCTCATCTTGCTTTAGTTCCAAATCTTGAGATATAAGTATAGCTACACCACGCCCTTTACAAAGAAACCTGTCTTTGTAACAAATGGAAACTATCACAGCAAAGCTCAACCAGACACAAGGAAGAGATGGAGACTCACAGGGAGCTCAGACCTAAAGGGTACAGTTACATCACACATATCAGAAATGGTGGAAAGATTGTAAGCCAGAATACTAGGAAGTTTAAAGCGAAACAGTCTCTCCTAGAAATGACTGAAAAACAAGATTGAACAATGCCAATATCAATGAACATATTAACATGGAAAGAAGAAATTTCCGAGGGTCTTACCACTAGACAACAAACTAGAGGTAACTAATGACTGCTGAGAGGAGAAGTAGCAGCCTCTGTCAGGGATGGGCCCCCTTATTGTTTGCTCAATGCCGAGTCATCATCCCTGAAACCATAGACACAAAACCAAAGACAGCTGTATTTATATATTTTGCATACATACACATGCATACATATTTATGTGTGTAACAATAGTTAACAACAAAAAAAAAAAAACAGAGGTGGGGTGTGGAAAGAGTAGGAAGGAAATGTTCCTGGAATCGGCTGGAGGAAGAAAAAGAATAGAGAAAAGTGGTATACTTCTATTTCAATGAAAACTATATTAAAATAAAATGTAATAATTTTTTTCAAATTGTGCCCAATTGTCTTGCAGAAGGATAGTAACATTGGCCCATTCCTCATCCTTTGTACTCTTTTTGTCATATATTTTTCAATTACACTCATTACCAACTATACAATATAATATCATAATTTTTCCCCATTTGTCTCAACAAATTGACTCCATATCTGCCCAAGCAGACATAAGAGTTTACTGCAAGGCAAGATTTAATGCAGTGCAGTGTAAAA